GGACCTTTCCTATCCACTGATTTCTAAAACATGGGCATTTTAACTCTCTGTGTACATGGTTTTCCCAGCAATTGTGTATTGAAAGCAATTCCTTAATAAAAAAATAAATAAATAAATAACCAATTCACAACAGAGTCCAATGGAACATTTCCCAGCACTACTTATATTTGGGCTATGAAGGAGTTTTTATTTCTGCCTTGGATCTTTGGTCACGGAAAAGCCATTAGTGTCCGAAGAGAACATCAGGATTTCATAGCTGGGATTTTAAGATCATTAACTCTTAAACAGGTTGGCATGATACATGAGATATTTTATACATTGTAGGGTGGCGAGAGGCTGGATTTGCACCCACTCTCTGCCACTTCCCCCGCCAACACCGTACTTCGCCTGGCTGGGACCAGGAGTCCACGTAGATCCTTGGAGTTGAGAGGAAGCCAGGGTCTGCACATGGCACACCGCCCTGGGTCGATTAGTCTGTGGGTAACTACTAGGGCAGATTTCAAACCAGAAAATCAGTTCACAAGGCTAAGTGCACAGGAGGCATGCATGTTTTAAGAGGAAGTCCAAACTGAATCTCTATGGGAGAGGGGAGGAGTCTCGTTGGGTGCCAGTGAGTCATTTCCAGAGGCTCCATGGATGAGGTATTTGGAGACCAGGGTGAGGAAGTGCAGTGGCCAGAGGCAGAGGAGAGGACTGGGGCACCAGGCAGGCAAGCCTCTTACTCCTGGGGATTTGAGTTAAAGAGAGATAAGCAGCACCCCCAACGCGGCTCTATCCTTTTCCTTGGGGTGATTTGGTCTTGGGGCAGGGTAGACCGTGCATGTGTGGGTGAAGAAGGCTCAGTAATAAGAGCCAGAAGAATCCCAAGGTGCAGGCCTAGCTAACCCTATATCCTGCTGCCTGTTAGCAGCTGAGGCCCCTTGGGAGCCCATGGTGATGCAGAGAAGACAAAACCAGTTTGGTTCCCAGAATCTTAGGAGATTATGTTTACTCTTCATACTTGAGGGAAAAGGCTATGTACATCTCAAGTGTGTCCCAAAGGGGGTACATTTTGGTCAAAGTTTATATAATTGTGTAAAAAATGGTCATGTGTAAATATGAAACAACAAACCTCAAGAGTAACAGGGCGATTATTATCAGAGTTAGAATGAGAAAAACAAGTTTCTCCATACCTCCTCACCTCCTGTTTTATCTTAAGGGTCTCATTTTCTTTTCTTCTCGAGAAACTACAGCACCTGCCCCATTAACAAGAAAGTTTTCCAGATAGATCTAAACTTTTCTCTACACCCCAGGATGTTTCTTGAATCTTTCCCTGTATCTAGCTAGCATCATTGTATCATTGCATCAATTTTAAAATTGATACATCATTGTAAGATTGTATCAATTTTACATATCAGTCAGAAGAATACTGAAAATGAAATGTTTTAAGACAAAAGAAAGTGAATTATCTTTGGGTGATCCGTTTAATAAGTAAAAGAATGCAAACTGATTTGAGATGGTGAAATAGGGCCAAATGGTGGAGAACAGAGAAATAGTACACCAAAAAAAGATTTATTCCAAACCTCTGCTCCTTAAGCAGAGAGCCAAGAATAGCCCCTGAATTCTAGGTCAAGTCCTTATTTCACCAACACTTTGCCTCCCCTCCCAGGGTAATTCCCTCACTGCACGACTTCTCTACTGATGAAGAAAATGAACTCTGGAGGGGGGAGGGGGGATTCCTCTCGAATCATTAGGCATCTTACAGTACTACCTACCCTTCTGTAACCAAAATTGCAGACAGTACTTCTCCTGGTCATAGAACCAAAGCACAGCATTGCATTCCAGAAGTGGGCACAGCTGTCCAGTGTCCAGGGAAATCTCAATTCCAGTGGAAAGGAGCTGTAGAATTCTGGATTGGACTCTAGCTGATAGTCAGCCATGTGGTGCCTCTTCTGGGGCATTGGGCCATATCTACCAGACCCTCAGAGACCCCCCAGGGCCAGAGCATCTACCCCATGGCTGAAGGAGAGCAGCCAGGACCAGTCTTTGAGATTTAAAGTATACACCTGAATCCTGTCCAGGATGACAGCTGGGATTCTAATGAAAGAGAATTCCCAAAGCATTAATAGCCCAAGGCTAGATTATGCAGTTCTGGTAAGCTCTTGGGAGACTCCCAACTGCCGTTAAACTCAGAGATCTAGTGTTGGTGATTACGTCGACCCATTCACCAAGGAGCTGTGCTCCAGAATCATTGATCCATCTGGGAAGGCTCCTCAGGTTCACATAGGGTCACAGGAGTTGGCTGGAGCCAGCTGGGTCCGAGTCCCAAACCCAGAGTGTTTATCCAAATGAGGGAGGAAGAGGTGATGTCCAGCTGGCAAAAGCTTAGGAGCTTCCACGAGCAGTAGAGGCTTCTTGTCTTCATGCTCTTCTTTCTTCCATTCAACAAACAGGTAGATGCTGGAGAGAAAAATATCTTTGCGACCCTCACAAGGGGAGCGTGACAAAAGAGTGATTGCAACTCAATATCAGAGAATGATGACTGAGAGACGTACAGGGGGCCCTGAGAGCATGGGACAGGGGCAGAGTGCCTCATCTGTGTTGGTCAAAGGCAACAGGCAGAGACTGAGTTGAGTCTTGAAGAGGGGGGTAGGAGTTTGCCAGTGTGGGCGTGGAACATCCCAGGCAGGTGGGATATGTATACAGGCTGAGAGACGGGAACGGAAATGGTTTATGGGAAAAGGTTGACTTTTGGCAGGAGGGGCCCCCAACCCCCTTTCTCACCCTGATCCCTTTCCCCCAACTCCTCACCCCCTCACTCTGTGGGCTCTATGCTGCTGCCATATGAAATAGCTTGCTCTACCCCACACAAGTGTTTAAATATGCATTTCTGTATTTACTAGAAGAGTTGAATGATTGTTCAAATGCTGATTTACCATCCTTTAGGGTGTTGCTTGTTCTGATCTTTTGTCTATTTTTCTAGTGTTTGCCTTTTTGATATGTACTTGTACCAATTATTTACATATCCTGGACACTAATCTATTGCCTTTTATATTTGCTGCAGACAAATCTTCTCTCACTCTTTTGTCTTTGAACTTGTTTCTGGTATCTTTTCATCATTTAGAATTTTAGACACTTCAATCAAAATTATCCTTTCCTAAGAAAAAAATCCTACTTTTTGTATCATGCTGAAGAACCCCTTCACTAACCTGATGCCATAAAAATCTCCTATAATTCATCCAGTGGATTTAATGTTTTGTTTTTCCCATTTGGTTTTAGTACATCTAAGATTACACTTGGTGTAAAATTGTGTTTTTTTTCAATTAGAAATCCATTGCTGCAGCATCATTTATTGAAGGGTTTATTCTCCTTCCCCCATTTGAATCACCTCTTTCACTCTATAGCAAGAGCTTACATAGGCTGAGGTATGGGTTCTCCATTCTACCCCACTAGCTTTACTGTTATATCATGTTTTATGCATATGGGATCATTATATCTATTAGGGCAAGCTTTACAACTTTGGTCTTTTTCATAATTGACTTGATGATTTATAGACCTTTAATCCCATTTTATTTTTAAAGTCAGTTTTTGAGTTTCATAAAACATCCTTTCAGAATTTTTCCTAGAATTGGAGTTATAGATTAACTTAGGGAAAGTGAGATGTCCTTACGATACGGAGTTTTCCACTGTATGATCATACACATTGTATCATTTGTGTTCAAGTTGGACAGACATATCTGTCTGAATATGGGGCACAGAAAAATAAATTCTCCTCATAGAGATGGAATACACTCAATGAGAGGAATATTGTACCATGAAAAGGACAGCATAAAACCTACTTTGCACAGATTCATCTTAAATATCTATAAAATAGTCTAAAACAAAAAATAGCAACCAATAATTTCTAGAAGTTAAAATTAAGGTAAATGAGTACATACAAAAATAAAAGTAATCTGAAACCGGTGGAAAATGTTTGCAGTACAAAATGTCAGACTAGAAGGAGCAAACTCTAACCTCAACAATTATTAGAATGACAGACAGCAATGCAGAGCTCAGCTGAAATAGATCCTTACGTGAAAGGAAAGAGGCATCCTAGCTCCAGAAAAGAGTGGGTTGTAATAGAAAAACCTACTAAGAAATCACTGCAACAGATGGAGTACAAGCACTGTGGAAATACTTAAAAGCTGAACTGAAGCCATAGTAAATGGTATCAATGAAATAGAAGTCAGCCTCGGGAAATAAAGAAAACCCCTTCCAACTCTAAAATTCTTTGACTCTATGTGTCCTAGAGAAAGTTTTCCTCTTTTTTCAGTAAGATATGTTTTTTTTTAATATAATAAAAAGTTGTGCAGTTTTTCTTCTTTTATTAGAGTGACTAATTACATTAGATTTCCTTAAATGTTGACCTTTCAGTACACTCCAGAAATAAACTCCATGAATTAATTAATTATTATTCTTGTTGCTATTATTGCTAATAGCAATAATAATAATTGTTGATAATAATAATAATTATTATTATTATTCCTGCTGGATTCATTTGCTAATATTTTATGTAAAGATTTTGCCTCTGTATTTAGAAATGAAAGTAGACCCTTTTTTGAAGGTGGGGGGTGATTTGTTTATCTTTCTCTGTTTGGGCATTTAGCTTGTGCTAATTTCATTTAAATCAACTGGAATCTTTCATAAGAGGAATAATTTAAGTAGCACACACACAAAACACCTGTTTCTTAAAGATTTGAAACTAACCTATGAATCTGATTGAGCCCAGGATGTTTTTCGTGTGTGAGTATGAGAAGTGGGGGTGGGAAGTGGAGTGAAGAGAGACCTTTAACAAAAATTTTAAGTATTCTTACATTAAGTCTGAACACCATTTTAAATGATTTACAAATTTATGGACATTTCAGATAATGAGCCCAATTAATGGATATGTCAAATGTCAATTAATAGAACATGAAAATAAATGATACAAGGTAAAGACAAATGAACACCCAATTGAGTAACGTCTGCTTTTGTTTTCCTAGATCAGGAAGTGTGCTACATCACTGGAATGAAATCTATTACTTTGTGGAACAGTTGGCTCATAAATTCATCAGGTGAGAAACGCAATGCATAGTTCTCTGTCATGATCAAAACCAGCCTGTGTGTGCTATTCTGCTCATTACTGACTACTTTGGTGATGCTTTTTGACAAAGGCGGACTCTCAGATCTTGGACCAGACTTTGTTTTCATCTTTGCCATGTATTAGAATGACGTTTGGCTTTGTTTTCAAGAGGACCCCAATGTGGTTATAAGACTAGAATTTTAACTTTGTCTTTCTCTTATTTAATAAATTCTTCTAGAAGGGTCATTAACATTTTCTTTCACAGTGTATCACGCTGGGGCAATTGGCTTATTCTAACTGGACTCATGTGGAGGGAGTGTAGGGTGTAAGATGGCCAGTTTACACTGGCCATCATGCCAGTTTGCTCAGAACTTTCCTGATTTTAGCACTACAAGTCTCACATCCAGGGAGCTACCTTCAGTTCTGGGCCATGACCATCCTGGTTGGTTAGCCTAGCTATGTGCCCTATCAGGTAGAATTCTCTGAGCATTCTTAACACCACTTTCCAAAAGAGGACAATGCAGTTTTGAACATCATCCCTGTAAACATGACAGGGACTTTAGAGATCCTACTTTCTATTAAGTATAAATACCCACTAGTAAAGGAAAGGAGGTCATTTTACCTGCCTTGGGTGCAGCCTGTAAGGGATAAACAATTGTGATAGCTTTCATGGAGGTGCTTGAAGCCAGCTGTCAAGGTCTTTGATAAAATTGTTCTGATTATTATAATTCTAAAGCAGCTTCATTCTTGCCAGTGGCCTCTGTAGAGTCTTCCAGCTGATACGAGTAACCATAAACTTTTTTTTAAAAGATTTTTATTGGGGAATTGGGGGATGGGAACAGCGCTGGGGAATTGGGTGAAGGGGAACAGACAAGTTGCTGCCTTTTTGTACTTTAGTCTAGTTGTGGAGGACGTTGCTTCATTGGCCCAAGTTGGCACCATCATTGCACTCTTCCCGGGTGAGGCAGATCAGTCGCTGGCTACTGGACGGCTGCTCACAGCGGCTGCTGGCCGCTCACGCTGGCTGCTGGCTACACGCGGTAGCCCATGGCAACCCACTGCAGCAGGGGCTGCAGCCTCTGCTGTCTCCAGCAACTCACGACAGCGCGCTCCAGGTTGAGCTGTTGTTCAGCATTTTAGCTGTAGAGGGCAGCGTCACTGGCCCTCATATGTGGGATCCGAACCGGGGCCCTCTGGTGTCCCAAGCCAGCTCTTAATGAACACACCACTCGGCCGGCCCCATAAACTTTTTTTAAATAAAGTTCTTTGTCTCAGAAGCTATGTTCTTTTCTGAGACCTGGGTAATGCAAACATGTTCCCTCCAAATTCAGTTACTGGTTTCAACATGTACCTGCCTTCCTGATGGGGGGGCGGTATCTTCTCTGAGATGCCAAGAATTGGAAGCTGCAGCAAGAAGCATCTAAACCCAGCTGAATGAGAAAAGCAGATGCTGGGGCGGGGGTAGAGGAAAAGCAGAGGGAAAGGAAAGAAGCAAATACTTGGGTGGTGTTAAAAGCAAAATATTTAAGAGAATCATAGAAGCTTAGATAGTATTGAAAGAAATAAGCCACAAACTTATCCTCAGAGACATCCACTAACCCTTAACTTGAATAGCTCTGGTGAGAAACTGCTGCCTTTTGAAGCAAACAGTCCAACAGTTGGACAATTACAGTTTCCAGAAAAGTCTTTTTGTCATTCAGCCAAAATGTCCTTCCCTGCACTCTTATCCATTGCCCCGCTGGAGTAATAGAAAACAAATCTGCCTCCGGATAGTTGCTATGTCTCTGCTCTTCTAGACTTCTGTTCCCCCTGAAGCAGAAAAGGCTTTGAAGTTAGGCAGATATGGATTTGAATCTAAGCTCCATTGTGCAACCATAGCAATTAACACCCTAGTTTGCATGTAAAAATTATGAGAGGAAACATGTGCAAACCAACTAGCCCAACTCCTAATTGAGAGGGCACTCAACACTTGTCTTTCCCAGCCCCTTCAGCAATTCCAGGCACTTTACTATCTTAGAATCAAAACAAGTTAGAGGTAGGAGTTCGGGGAACTATGAGACCACTTAATCTAATCCTCTCATTTTGTAGATTAAGAAACTGAGGACCAGAGTGGTTGACATGGCTTCACCCAGACCATGAAGCACTTTTCTCAGCTTGTCTCCCCTGGCCTTCCTTGGCTATGGACCCCATCAAAGTGTGGTACCAAGACATTATTGACATGCAAACTCCAAGAGGGAGGGGCTGTATTTTGTTGACAGCAGCAGCCAAAGTGCCTGTAACAGTGCCTGACACATAGTACATGCTCAGTCAATAACTTTGAATAAGTGAATGAATTTTGAAAAGGAATGAATGGTTTTTATTTATCCGTTCTAATACATAGTCTAGGCAGCTGATACTGCAGGAGAGGGGGGAGAAGTTCATTCAATAACAGTGACTGACACCAGTACAAATATATCATTTCTAATTTCAGTGGGATCCTTGAAATTTCAGGTCCTTTTATTTGTCTTTATTCTGACCCTTCTCATTTTCTTAATAATGATCCCAACTCTTCACCATTTTTTCAAGCCCCCAGCCTACACCTCACATCCATCACTCTCAGCAAAGAACCTTGCCTCCTGTTTCACCAAGAACCCAGAGAATAGCAGACAAGTGATCAGCTCAAGATCCAATTCTCCTCTGAAAAGATGCACGCACGTCCTTCCCATCATCTTCAAGATTGAATTTTCTCTTCTATTTAAAGCCACTCCCTCCATTTTAGTCCATTTTATCCCATTGTCTCCAATCTCCTCTAGGTCTTTGTTTTTCTCTGTATTTTCTCTACCTTTCACCTAGCTCCATTTCCACTGCCAAGAGACATAAACTAACCTCTCCTGCCCCTTGTCTGAAAAAAATGAAAACCAAAGAATCTCCTGGTCATTTCTCCTATAGGCACTGTCCTATTTCTTTACTGGCTTCTCACTCAGATATCTTGAAAGACTTGTTGTCTCCATATCCTTAACCCACGGCCATACGGCTGTCATTCCCACCCTCTAACTCCCTGCTCTCACCAAAGTCATTAAGTGATGCCCTGGAGGTCAAATCCAGTGAGCTCCTGGTCGTGCTTATTCTGCTGGACAGAGATTTCATTTAATCCAGACTTATCTCTCCTGGAAATTCTCTCCTCCACTTGCTTCTGGTTCTTTCATCTCACCGACCAGAGCTAGGCCTTCGAATGTTGATATTGGCTCTAGATTTGGCTCACATCCCTTCTCGCTGCTGACACTTTCTTTGAACAATTTTACTCACATCAGTAGGCTGAGAACTCACAAATTATTTCTCTAGCCTCTTGGAGACCTACATTTCCCACATTTCAAATTCATCCTTTCCAGAGCTGAACCCTGTATGAGTGAGACAGCATAGTATAGTGGTTAAGAGCCCATGTTCTAGAAGCAGAATGCTTGGGTTTAAGCCCCAGACCTGCCACTCTGCCACTGCGTGACTTTGGGGAAACTACTTTATCTTTCAGGGTTTTAATTCTCTTCTGTGGAAAATAGAAAGAATAATAGTACTGATCTCATAAAGTTGTTCTAAGTTTCATGAGATAACACATGCAAATCACTTATAATAATGCCTGGTACATACTACGCACTTGATAAGCTTGGCCATAATTAGTATGACCATAATCATTATCATTGTCATTTAGGACATGGTGTCCTGCTGGCCCAGGACTAGTGAGGGAGTAACAAGCAGCATGGTGTCATGGACAGAGAATCCAGGTCTGTTTCAAGAGGCCAATATTCAATACACCAAGTACTGCCTAGGCTCCTATCCAGTATTAAACACCATGCTAAGAGTTTCCAAAGATGCATCAAACAAATGGTAATGAATGTAGACTTTATGCTGGAAGCAATAGAAGCCATTAGAGGTGTGACTGCAGATAAGTGACAAGACCTGATGTATATTTTAGGAAGATAATTCTGGGAGCAGTGGAACAAGGAATGAGTCAAGGCCACCAGCTAGGAAATAATTGCAGTGGTCTGATCATTGAGGGCAAATTCCTAAGTTAAGAGATGGAAAAGAGGGACAGGTTTCAGATACATTATAGGAAGTGGGAACAATAAGAGTTGTTGCCAGGTCAGGTTTGGAATGCTATTGCATTGTGAAGAAATAGGTTGGTGCCATGGTGGATGAACCAGTTGGTCACCCAGGGAAGAGCCCCACAGGATGGTGTTCCACTGGTGAATCCACTACAGTCTGACAGTCCCTCTTGCAAATGGAGAACCATATTTGGGTCTCAGCCGAAAGTGTGGATTTTACATTGTGTGGATTTTACATTGACAAGCTCCCAAGCACTGCCATGTAAAAACCATGCCAATGTATTCATTAATAATGAGAAGTATAACTACCGAGATATTCTTGAGGCACTTTCTCTCCTTAAAGGATAACTTCCTTGGAAAGTCAAATAGAAATTCAAAGTTGATGGTGACCCTGCTCTCAGAGCATAAGGAATGCAACGTATGATCTTAATAGCTGATGGCATCAAGCTGCAACAGCCGGAAACACTCTCTTCCTCATACGCAGACTACTCTGGAGATGCTATCAAATTTGAGTGTATCGGGATCCTCCTTTTTATACAGACACCATGCAGACCATCCCCCTTCTAGGGACACGCTTCTTCAGACAGAGCACAGGGCAGTGATGAATTTTCGCTTTCTTACTTATAATCCGCACTCGCAGAGGGGTGGTGTTAAGTCAGAAGCAGCCTCCAGGCAGAAAACGCAGGCCTTCTCTTTGGTCCAGAGCTTCAAATCTGATGCTGGCTGAATGCTGGCAACACCAGCTGTGGAGGCCCCATTGGGTTCCGCATCCTCAGCTCTGGCAGCTGTGATATAACGGGAAGAGCAGGGAGGAGAAAGCCCGGAAGGGAATGGCGTTCCATATGTTTTCTATCTGCCCTAATTGCATTTCTTTTCCTTTCCAGCCCTCAGCTAAGAATGTCCTTTATTGTCTTCTCTACTCGAGGAACAACCCTAATGAAGCTCACCGAAGACAGGTAAGAATGGTCCCCATCCCTGTCACTCAAATGCCCATCTTTTCTTGAGTGGTGCTCATACTTCTGCGCTAGTGCTAGCTTTGACCTGTCGGTCACTTTAATGTAATAGTTCTCTCTTTTCACTTAAGCCTTGAACTTTGCACATCGACCCATCTGCTAGTTTACTCTGCAATGGCTTTGATAGCATTTCCTGATGTTGGTGAAATTTTATAAATGACTAAATCACATTAAGGTAAATCTTACATTGGATGGGTGACTGGGTCTGCTAACTTGGAGCAGAATGTTAGCAAACCAAATTCTTGGGGGACTATATTTTCATTTATTAAATTAGATGCATTTTGTGGATTAAAGTTTCAGAGCTATAATAAGCACACTATGAGAAAAGTAAGAACTTGAAGTATTTTCGTACGTAATTACTAAGGCAGGGAATAGAAAGGGGGAGTCGACAGTACCACAAAATAAAAGGAAATTTGAATCAGGAATGGAAAAATGTTGTTGACATAGAAGGATGAGTTAGACCTAGCTTAACAAAAACATTATTTTGGGTTTCACCACTTGCAGATGAAAACGAGCACTAACAGAGACATGTCATTTATTCATAGTTAGGATGGCATAGTAGGGAAGGAGATGACAGTTTTCCTGAGTTAATGCTACTTTTTCTACATTTTAAAAAGTGATATGGTCCACATGAGAGAAGCACCATGGGGGAACATGTGTGGGACTATTAGCAGACTTACGTATGGACATGTTGGAGAAAGGAAAGGAGGCCAGGCAAGTCAGGGAAGGCAGGAAGACTTTATTCAACAACACTCCTCTTCGAAAACTGCAAATAGGACTAACAGGACAGGCTAAGGTGCTTCAGTTTTGCAGACACAGTGAATATGAGCTAGTCCCTATTTTTCTCCATGTCATTGTTTCCTATCTGTAACAAGAAGAGTAACCAGGCCATCTAGAAGTCTTTAAATGCCGTCTTTCTTTCAACAGTGCCTATTATAGGCATGCATGCCATTTGAGGTGCACAGACACCCCATTTTAAAAACAGGCATTTCTCATTTCTTATTAACAGAAGTAGAAACGGAGGCCCTATCATGTTTTCTAATTAGGGATACCCAGCAGAACCCACCTTAGATGCTGGCTCCGCATTCACTCCTGTTTTGCTGCCTCATGTTAAAATTAAACAGGGAATCATAAAGCCAAGAAACCTGTGTGACTTTCCTCCAGTGTTGGCCAAGGGTTTTAAGAAGCTCTGAGAAAGTGTCTCTAGCCTACGGGCTATGTTCCAGATAGATGTCTTTTATTCTGAGAAAACTCTCCTCTCACCCGTTCTTCACATCTTCCTACATGCAGAGGCCGCCTGGTGTTACTTCATGCTGACTCCACTCACTCCGTGCCAAGAGTTTGGCCATGAGACCAAGTTCACACACCTCTTGCAGATAAGTTGTGTGCTACTGCTCACAACCTCTGGGAAGTGGGGCGGGCAGAGGTGGGCCATGGATTGACCAACACTATTGCAATGCCTAGGCTTTCAGACCCATTTTGGTTATGCTAGTTCATCTTAGTCCTTTGAATCCTACTTCTGAATCTCCTCTTTTGTGACTTAACTTCGCTGCTAGTTTCCTGTGCCAATGAGAAAACAGATTAGATCCCCAATTTGTTAGAAACAGCATTTAATATTTAAGAGCAGAATATGCATCAAATAACAGCCAGAAATGCCTTGCTAAAGGCTGAATGGGTTTCGTGTGGTGACTGCTTGACCTAACCTATGGGTCAGCTGGCAAAGCGTGACATGGGTCACTGACATGTCCCCAGCCTTATCAACCTATGGAAAAATATGGGCAAGCCATCGCTCTCTAAAAGACTTTCTCACGACATTAGCTAAAAGAATTAGGCTTTCAGAGCTTCCAAGCCAGTACTATTTCTGAAATATATGACTTTCAGTGTATTCGTTGGTCACAGGAATGTGTATATTTTTCTCTATATCTCATTTGATCTTCATAGTATCCCTATAAGATAGTAAAAGATGCATTATTATACCTATGTAACAATTGAGGAAACTCACAGTTTAAAAAACTTGTTTAAAAACAAGACATGAATTAGCAGAGACTCATTTCAACAAAAGCAAAAGATTTTGGGTCAACCGAGAGAAATAATATCAAAGGTATATTTGCATTCAATTCTTGGGATTGAATCCACAGAAGGGAAGCCATAGGGAAGTTGAAAAAATAGAATGGAAGACAGCTATGGTGTGCTGAGCTGTAGCTGTACTATTAGAATAATAATACCTATCATTTGTGTCTTTTATCTGCTAAGCTCTTTATGTATCATTTCTTATCTATCCCTATATAACCATTATTATTAATACATCAATTTCTAATGGAGTCTCTGGTCATTTCATCCATTTTTTTATAGGCAATATGACATTTTTCACTAACTGCTTTCAAGATTTTTTTTTCTTTATCTTCAATTCTCAGCAGTTTGATTATGATGTGGCTGGGTATGGTTTTCTTTGAGTTTATCCTATTTTGGCTTTGCTGAGCTCATTGAATCTATAAATTTATGTCTTTCACCAAATTTGAGGACATTTTTTTTTTCAAATAGTTTTCTGCACTAGTCATTTTCTCCTGTCCTCTGAAACACCAGTGGCACAACGGTGAGACCTTTTGATATTCCATATGTCCCTTTTCAGTTCTTTTTCAACCTCTCTTCTTTCTGTTCTTCCGATTAGATCATTTCTATTGACCTACCTTTATGTTCACCGACTCTTTCCTCTGTCATCTCCATTCTGCCACTGAGCTCAGCATCCATTTAATTTTTTACTGTAGTATTGTGTTTTTCAGCCCTACAATATCTATTTGGTTCTTTAAAATTTTTTATTTCTCTGCTGAGAACTTTCATCTTTCCATTTATTTCAAGTGCATTTACCCTTACCTCATGCAATGGAGTTATTATAACAGCTTTAAATTGTTCGTCTTATAGTTCCAACAGCTCAGGTTTGGCATCTTACTTGTCTTCTCCCTTGAGAATCAGTCACGTATTCTAGGTGCTTTTATGTCAAGTAATTTTAGACTATATCCTAGAAATTTTTTTAAATTATGTTGCTTAGACTCTGAGTCATATTCAGATCCTCTGGAGAATGTGGATTTTTTTCCCTTTGTTTGCTTTAGTAGGAAATCACCTTGGCTAGGTTCAGACCGCAAGCTCTATCTCTTCCTCTGTGGCTGGTGGTTTTTATTTTGGTTCCATTTTCAAGGCTTTGCTAAGCTGCATTGGGCCTGTCCCACACATGTGCAGCTCAGAGATGACTTTTACAGCTTCATACACAGAATTAGAGGGATCCCCTTCTCCAGCACTTTTCTCTCCAGGATTCCCCAACGCTATCTTTCCCTCTGAGGCCTCCTTTCAAAGTCCTCTAGAAAGAAAAATGGAGTTTCTCTTGGAGTTTTGGCTACCACATTGCTGAATGCAGTTCTCTACTGAAGTCACCCTTGAGGCAAAGCCAGGAATAAAAAAAGAGAAATAAAAATGATAGAGATTCCCTCCACATTCTTTGAACCACTGTGTGTGTGTATGGCGGGGGGGGGGGTTGCTTTAACTAGGGGCCAGAAATATGGGGGCTTTCTGGGCCGTTTAGGTAACACCCTAGACCACTACCATGTACTGAGACCCATCCTCAGGTTAAAGACATGAGAGAAAAGAGGAAAACAAATTTAGAATTCATCTTTGTGTGGGTTATTTTCCAGGTTTTAGCTGCCTTCCTCAATCCACCTGCTTTGTTTACTTTTCAGAGTCCTTGTGTGTTTGCTTTTTAAAATTTTGTCCAGAGTTTTGTTATAATTAGTAAGAGATAGCCAGGGGCAAGTTTACTCTATCTTACCTGCTATTACTTTAATTTTACAGATAATGACACTGAGATTCAAGTAATTTAGATAACTTGCGAAGGTCAAATAATAAAAATGGCAGAACTAGTATTCTGATTCTGGGTTCTGGATTTGGTTCAACTCATGTGCTTTCCATTATATCATGTTGCTCTTTCAAGATTTCTTAGCTTCATCAGTTTGCAAAGCAATTGACAAATTGTGACAAATTTTTTAGGTGTCTTCATTAACATAATAAAGGATATAATGTTAATTTACATATTATCAGAATTAATAATTTTATTGTTAACTACTGCATATGAGCCCCTAAAAACTCTGTGGATGTCTTTTCCTGATCTTAATTGAAATACTTTAAATGTTTCATCATTGGAAATGAGATCATGTCAAGGAAGTCCAACTCTTACTTTAAAAGAAATCAGGAATAGATTTTAAATGTCATCAAATGCATTTTGGCAGCTATTGAGTTGATCATGTTTTTTCTTTGGCCTACTAATACAGTGAAATGCATTAAGATGATTTTTTTAATATTGGATCATTCTTGCCTTTGTGGTTACACTTGATTGTAATATATTTTTGTTTTAATGTAGAGCTGAATTCCATTTCTGTGTTTTATTCAGAAATTTAGGATCAGTATTCATAATGGTGTTTGGGCTGCTATTGTCCTTTTTATGACTACCTTTACTTACAGTATTTTTCTGTAATTTTTTTTTTACCTTTAGATTTTATTTTACATCTAGAATTTATCCTGATGCATGGTGTATAAGGCCAAGATAAATCTTTTTTTCTTCAAATGTTTAGCCAGTTTTTCCAACACCATTTGCTGAATAATCTTTTACTACCAGTATGAAAAGTTAGACTCTGTCATAGACTTGGGGACATTGCTAAGTTTTCTCTTCTGGTGCACTGCATTTCTTTCCTATACTAGAACCAGTTATGTATTTTAATTAGTTTTAACATCTAGAAGACCCATCCTTCCTCACTTCTAATCTTGGATAAAAATCTCCCTCATCTTTAGTGGGGGTTTTTCCCTACCATGTGTATTTTAAATAATTTTTTTAGGTTCCAAAACATTCTTGTGATTTTCACTTAAATTGTAGGAAAAGTACAAAATAATCTTAGCAGATA